TAGTCGCCGCCGCACCGATGCCACCCAGATGAACAGCCATCCTCTCGCCAGGGTCAAGTCGAAGCTACGGATCACAAATCAAGTCGGTGATGGCAGGCGCGCTGCGACGGCGCCGCTTCTTGGAGGGCTCCACCATGATCAAGAGCGCGCGCAACGTCCTCAGCCGACCCGTCCGCGACGAGCATGTCTAGTGCGCTCAACAGGGAAAGTTGCGGCTAGCTTGAGCGCGAGCATAGTCGATTATCCTTCAAGAAATTCCTGACCACATCTGGAAACACCTGACGCAGGTCGTTTTTAGCCGTGTCTGGCGTTTGGCGCGTTAGCCCACAAAGTCGGGAGCCCTGAAAATGTCCTGGACAGCCGCATGCTTCGGCGCCATGAGCTATGCTGTTGCGGGGTTGAGGCCACCTGCGTAGGCTCCGCCAAGCCACAAGCGAGCCAAAAAGAGCAGAGAAACGAGAAAATTCACAGCTGCCGCAACCGCTTGTGGAGTTTCCCCTTAACTTGACGGATTCGGAGAGCCGCCGCGACCCATGTTTGACGGATTCGGAAAGCCGCCGCGACACGCGTTTTCTGGAGCCTCCGCGTATAGATTGACGGATTCCGAGCCGTAGCTTGACGGATTCGGAGAGCCGCCGTGGCGCGAGCATCGTTTTCGAGGGAGGGTTGCACGGAGTCGGGCCGACAGCGCATCCACTTCTGCTCGGGTGCGGAGCGCAAGCAAGATTGGCTCGTGGCCTGGTCGAACACTGGCGCCCACACGGCGGCCAGCGAACGTGAGACGAGCCGACGAAACATGTCGCCCGTCGCAATGCCGCGCACGCCACGTCCGGGCTTACGAATCGCCATCATGCGCGTCAAAGGCATGCGGAGCTCTGGCGCGGTAGGGAGTGCTGTGGCCCGCGAGCCGCAAGGCCAGCGGGACGACAGAAGCGCGAAGAGGCTTTCGCACGCCACTGTGTCCAACGTCGCTGTCCGCTGCGGGCAACGGAGGCATCGTCCAGACTCCAATGACGGTGTTGCAGGCCGCTCGCTGGACAGCAACGGCCAATACCCCCCACCAGCGCCGTGCCTATCCCTGGGCCCTGCGTGCGCGCAGTGCGATGAGGCGCTGCACGAGACGCTGGGACTTGTCGTTTCAGCGCCCCACGATTTCAGCGGCCAGAACGCATAAGCGATGCGGGCCCCCGCGACTTGGCAACCGATCCCCAGACCCCCAACTTTGAAACGAGAATCCTTCTCGGAGCGGGAAAAAATCATGCTTGTGGGTCAGGCATGCTAGTAAGCCCACGTAAGATGAAGCTCCACCGAGGTGAACAGCATCATTTAGCACGACGGAACAAAAAAAAAGACCTTGTTCCATGTTTCCGCGTTCGGCATGACAACGACGGCGTCGGACGGCTTCAGCGTGAGCTTGGGAATTGCCAGCGTGTGAGTTGACAGGCGGGAGGCCAGTCACCTCCACGACGGAGCCACCGGCGTCGGCTGAGGATTTTAGCTTTTTGCCACACTGCCAAACAGAGGTGGAACGGGGGCTACAAACTTTCCACAGAGCGCGCTGCAGCACCGTCTCAATACGCCATTCAATATGCCATATGCGATACGTGCGGCACTAGGTATGCGAAAGCCGGTTGCGTGCAGGCTCGAAAGCATGAATGCGCGTGGCGAAGTGGATGGTCTGTTTGTGTATGTTTCAAATAGGCACACGTATGTTTCAAACAGGCGCAAGATGTGAAGTGACATGTGTGCTTCGCTCAAGTGACAGTTTGCATTTTCGCTCATGGTGGGCGGTACGCATCAATGATCATGCTAGACAGCTGAAGAGCAACCACTTTCACAAGGAACTTTCGAAGCAACACGGCTGGCGAGTTGCACAACGTAACGTTGTCCGATTGCAGCAGAGAAAATTGTTTATACGAACGCAAGCTTCCGCAAACGCCGATATTTCCCCGAGCAAGGAGTGGACGCAAACAACTTCGGAACAAAACCAATATGTGGCTGTTTGAGCAGGTGGGGGTTCGCCATCTTTTCACGTTTATCCTTATTGCAGTTTAGTCCGCCCAGCGGGTTACGCCCAGGTTACGAGTCCGAAGCGTCGCCGTGTCCAAAATACTCAGTGGCAACCAGGGCAGGGGCGGGAAACTTCTTGCCCCGATCAGTGCCGAAATCGGGTGACAGCCTCGCATGTGCATGTGTTGGCCTAACGTTGGGTTGCGCATCCCCATTCAGTTCGACGCACCTCTTGGGCGAGCTTGTCCGTAGGATCCAAATCCTCTCTAGTGCCTTTGTGTTTTCCCGTGCACACCCACACGTAAGGAGGTTGCCGGGTTGGACGTTTTTGCATCGGGGAGATGAGGATCAGTTATGAGCCCGCAGCGCCCCATAGGCAGGTGTTTGAGGCGAGCGCCGACAGAGGGTGAGGTGAGCCGCCTGGCGAATTTGTGCCCAGTTCGGGGAGGGAAACCCTGAGACCAACGCCCCGGCATGAGTCGTGGTCCCATTGGACTCCTTCAGGCTATTGTGACTACACCCAATGAGTCGGGGCTGTTTTCCAACCCTGTGCTGTGTGGTGACAGATGATACTTGCAGCCAACAGCAACGCTGAGGCCGTACCGCAAACAACGCGTGTGTGAGCGTACGCTGCAGGGTGTGTGTGTTCATTTCAATACGCACGCGCAGGACAAACGTTTTCGTGGAGGTACAAATTCACATGTGGGAGCGGACGTCGAGTGACCGAAACAAACAACGTTTTCCCTTAGCTTGACGGATTCGGAGAGACGCCATGACCCGCCTTGCGTGATGGATTCGGAGTTGGATTTCTGTTGAGGATGACCGGTCCGCCTTCCGGGTGTGCATCTGGCTCAGCCTTGACATCTTCCTAAACAACGTATCTGCACTTCATTGTGTGGTGCGGTATTTAGGACATTTACCTTGAGGAAATTAGAGTGTTTCAAGCAAGCGATTGCCTTGAATACATTAGCGTGGAATAATAGAGCCGCCAGTTTTTCCTTATAGCTTGACGGATTCGGCCAGCTTCTTGTGGAGTTTCACCCGAACAGCGGGCGCTCAACACTCGCAGGCGCTTGCGGACTCTTGGCGGACGCTTGCGAACGGTTGCGAACGGTTGTGGACGCTTGCAGGCGCAAACGCAGCGTTTTTCTCCGATTGCATTGCGCGTCGTGTTTACTGCGGCGCTTGAAGCTCCCGCTGCCACACGTGCCGAGGCACGCTGTGGCGGGACGACGCAAGTGGCCGGCCAGCGAGCCTTCGCCTGGTCATTAAACTGTGCGAGGTGGCGCCCGCCGTTGTGCCTTTCGCACGGTTTTTTTTTTTACGGCCAGGCAACCGAGTACAACACTTTCCCCTCCTCTCCCGGCTCCGCTCTCCCTCTTGAACTTGACTGACATGACGTGGTGAGCACGAACGATTCAGCGTCCTTTTCTTAGGGGTTTCGGTTGGGGGACCGCCACTGCCTAACGCCCTTGAGTTACCTATGGGCTTTGCGATTGTAGAGCTGTGGGCGTGAGATCCCAGCACTTCAGATACTGGTCAAAATCCAACTGATTCGGCACTGCTGCTACGTACAGAGTCACGCAACCGCTACCAAGAATCATTTTCAGGACATCTAGTCACTTCGGAGCACAAAAGATAGTCGAAACGTGTACACTCAGTAGTCTCCGTACGGGGGAAAGTCGCCCCTGGGCGCAAGTGACTACTCCACCCGTGCACTCCACCCGTGCATCCGCAGCATGACAATTTTTTTACAGGCGCGTCCCATGGAGGATCACTGTGGATCAGCTCTCGCACACCACCACGGTCTTTTTGTGGCATCAAGCCAAATATTCGGAAATGTCGCTGTGTCAGGCTTGAGCTAGGCGCGAAGGCAGTGGGGGCGCCCGCCGGTCTTGGAGTGTCTCTACTCTTTGCCATTCCGATGCCCGTCCGCAGCGAAGCTGACACTTCAAGCCTGCATTCCCCAAGAGTCTGCCGGCTCGTGTCGGATGCTGTGGCCTCCGCAGTCGGTTTGCGTGATGGCTTGAGATGTATGTTCGGCTTGGGTGTCCTCAAGGCGCTGTGGCAGGAAACCTTAGCGTGTGTTTGGTGCTGTTGGGTACTCGTAGTTTCTACAACTCTGCAAGCTCCACGAGCGAAAGCAACATGCTTCTGACGACATCGTTTTCGCAAGCCTCTTCCAGCAACGCTGTTTGCAACAATCATATACAATATTCCCGTTTATAACAACCTGCTGTCAGGGAAGCAAATCTGAAGCATTACCTCGGATTGCTCATGCCGGCACTTCGACTGGCATGGCTTGGCAACACGTCTGAACCAGAGGCCGAGACGAATGTTCCCCGGAAACAGAGCGCACAATCCAAAAACATCAAAGAGTCTGTGCCCAGGGGGTTTTGATCGAGTTTTTCGGCGCGCACATCCTGGTGGGATGCCCGTCCGGAGCAGGCTGTGGCATTCTTTTGTTTGAGTGTGAGCTTGGAAGTTCCAGCCGAAGCATGAAAAGTGAAAGATCTGCCCTCGAGTTGCCAAACTGGATGGCCTGGGCATTGAATGCGCGTTGGATGCTGTGTTGGTGACATCAGGCAGGTCGCTGCTGATTTGTAGTAACTACGAAGTAGTTCGGGCATGTGCGCATGTCATGTGGCAAGATGGAGGCGGCTCTTTGGGTGGTTGGCTGGAGCTTTGGAGGCTTCTGGCACTTGTGCTTGCAGCTGCAGCAGCACCGGCACTTCGAAAAGCTTCTCATCGGCGAGAATTTGCATGCACGGTTACGGGGCATGTTGGCTGAAGACATGACTTCTTCAACATGAGCACCTACGTGTGTATGCAAACGATTCAGGCCGAAGTGCTAAGCCACAATTGACTTGACATACGTGTTCCTTGTGCCGGCAACAGAGCAAAATCCTCCACAAGCCACACACACATCACAAGTATCTCGGTCATCGCGCTCCCCCCACGCGATGGAGCCCATGAAGCCCATGGAGCCCATGGAGCCCGAGAGCAAGGCAGCGCCTCAAGGATCCGGAGCTTCCGAAGGCTGCTTCAGCAGATTGCGGCGGAAGTTGACCGAACCGCATGGCCATTCTGGCCACTCTTTGTTCAGCAGCTGGCTGAACATTTGCTTTGTAGATGTTGCCTTCATGTGCCTTCTTTTTGTTTGCCAGCCCGCGCCCGTGCCATCCTGCCAAGCCAAGGAAAATTCCGCTTCGCGCTGTCGCTTTTTAGCCTCTTGGACAGACTCGTGTGTGTCGTCCCTGCAGTCCCAGAGGTCTTGTAGCATCGCAGTCCGTGATTCCAAGATTGTACACCAAGGCTTGTTCCACATTTTGGCCATCATTGGCTCGGCTAAAGATGCTCCTTGCCAGGAGACACAATATGACACAATATGACACAATATGACACAATATGACACAATATGACACAATATGACACACTATGACACACTATGACACACTATGACACAATATGACACAATATGACACAAGATGACACAAGATGACACAAGATGACACAAGATGACACAATATGACACAAGATGACACAATGTGACACAATAGCATTTGTCAGACTTTTTGTTGCGCGGCGTGTGCACCCAAGTCTTCTTCACAGCTGAGGTCTATCTGGAGAAGTTCGGAGCAGCACCTCGGCATCTGTTTTTCGGGAGATACTTGGGCACCGAGCGGCTACTCACTGCTTGCAAACTCCGTGCGGCACCTGCATGGCCACTGCCGTCAATTTTCAATCGCTGCGAGGATGCGACCATCATGGGCCTGCTTTTCTCTGTAATCTCCTTCTGGAGTCCGTTCACGGAGTGCGTCGTCGGCCATCTCCAGGACGGGGGCGGTCAAGAAACCTCACATTCTCAAGATTCTGTTCGCTTCGGCTAAAATGGCGCATGGGCATGGGCGTTAGGGGGGTTTGAATGGGTTGACATGTGCAGTTGCGCAAGGACCGAGAAGTGCTAAGGCGCTGTTTCCCGGTGCGACGCTGGGGACGCCGGGCTCCGTTTTTGGCAACGCATTGCGTGATAGCTGCTGTGGCTGCCAGCGCTGTGACCTGGCAGAAGTGTTTTGGTGTCTTTGCAAAAAGCAGTTTCTGTCCGGCGGCTTCACTGAAGTTGTGCATGACGCTTGGAAAAATTACAAGGTGTACATGCCGCCTAGCCGTGACCTCAGGGTGCGGAGTGGATCGGTGGCTCGGCGGTCAGTGGCTGCTTGCATTGTTGGTTGCCGTTGAGGTAATGCGACCGGTCCTCTGGAGGTCTGGTTCGCAACTTGATCGAAACTAGTTTTTCCAAAAGTACTCGCAAGCTACGGTTTGTTTGCCAGGGCTTCTTGTTACATTGTTGGTTCACCGCTTCGCATCAAGAGTGTCGGGCGACACCTAGAGTCAATCATGGCAAGTGGTGTTGGGGTGTTGCTGTGCGTGTGCCAGTGCGTGTGACAGTGCGTGTGACAGTGCGTGTGTGCGGGCGTGTGCGCGTGTGCGCCCTGTTCCCCACCCTCAGTGGGGTTTCCATGGCTTTAGATTTTGAGTCAACTTGCCCGGTGTACTGCCCGGCCTCCAGGTCGGTGGGTGGACTCAGCGTTGTACGGGGGGCGCAATTGATGTGCTTGTCCGCGTCTCCTGCCTACGACCCTGCCTGACGCATGCACGGCATTCTCGTGAGCACTCCACTCGGTCTCCGGCTCCTAAGACCGGAGCAGGGGCGAAGCGCCCCTACTTCGGGGGGCGGCACAACAGTTTGTGTTTGTTGTGCTTGTTGTGTTGTTTTGTGTTGTTTTGTGTTGTTTTGTGTTGTTTTGTGTTGTTTTGTGTTGTTTTGTGTTGTTTTGTGTTGCATTGTGTTGTTTTATGTTGTTTTGTCTTGTTTTGTTTTGTGTTTTTTTGGTCTTGTGGTTGTGAATGAGCAAGCATGCGCAAGAATCATCGGCCATCAAATGTTTGAAGTGTCGATACAATATCCAACGTCAGATTCCCGATGCCAAGCGCAGGGAAACAAGAGAAATGCAGGGCACCCGAATACCCTCATCGATTTGGTTCGTGAAAACGTAACCTGCGTATCCACTTTTTGAGTCGGTTTTTGGCGTCGAAAGTTTGATCTCAAAATGGGCTCAGAAC